TTCGCAGCTTGCCTCAGGCTTTCCTGATGTTTCCGATCGGAAGTCGAAGTTTGACTTATGAAACAAAAGGGGCCTCGTTCCTTATCTTAGGGTTCCTTAGCTCAAGGCCCCGACGGTACAGTCGTGAGCACCTCCTAACGAGCACGCCACGACAAAAACAGGGCGGGACTCCCGCGCGGATGCCGCACACAGCGGGTCACCACGAACGCTTCCCTCTATGGGGCCCCGCCGCCGGCCCCCCCCACCAAGGCGGCGAGCAGGGCCCGGGCGCATAGCGCCGCCGAAGTCGCCAGGCCCGCCCATGGGTCGCCCCCTGGGCTCCTCCTCCTCCTCCTCCTCCTCCTCCTCCTCCTCCTCCTTCCTCCTCCTCCTCCTCCTCCTCCTCCTCCTCTTCTCCTCCTGCGGGCCGGTCGGGCGCGGGCGGGGGGGGGGGGGGCAGCGGGCGGCGCCCCGCGGCGCGACGGCTCGGGCCTTGCCCCGCCTGGCTTCGTCCGCGGGGCTGGCCTTGGACACCGCCGATGCCTGCTCGCCTGCGGAAGCTCCAGTCGGGGCCCTGAAGAAGGAACCCTTGTCGTTGGGGAGGGACTCCGCGTTTCTTAAGTGTTTCACAGCTTGCCTCAGGTTTTCCTTATGTTTTCGATAGTGGAAAAAAGGGGCCTCGTTCCTTATTTAGGGTTCCTTAGGTCAACGCCCCGACTGTATACCGTCTGAGCGCACAGCAAGGAGGAGCAGCTGTCCGAGGGTGCCCTCGCCTGCCTGCCCCTTCGGCCCTATCCTTGGCAACTCTCGCCGGCCAGCCCCTCAGGGTACCCTTGCATCTTTCGGTGTTCGGCCGCGGCCCGTTCGAAACGCGTCAACGTAGCCTTGCAATGTTCGGGCGTCCTCACCGCGCATCCCGATTCAACGCTTTGACTGTACAACGGCCTGCTGGCTGTTTCGCCACAGGTTGTGCACCGGGCGGCCGAAAGGAAAAGCAGCTTTGCATTCTCTATGCTAGGGTTGCTTACGCGGCAGCCGAGACTGTCACGGTCTGCTGGTGGCTGCGCCACAGGTTGCGCACCTGGTGGCGAAAGGAGAACGGCTTGCTATTCTGGACGCTTCGCGTAACCCCACCGATTTCTCGCGCGTTGCTAATTTGATCGGCCCGTGGGCCGGACCTTTCGACTCGGCGCCTGCGCTTCCGCGTG